TCATTGTGCATCCTAAATGAGTATATTGTTAGAGGCATTATGTGAATCAAGGGTATTTGGTGATGATCTAGAATCGATGATGGTCAAGGAATCAAACTCATTGTTACAAGTTAAATTTGGTATCATGATAGCAAACAATTTAGCTTTTAGAGTAGAATCCCTGTTAAAATTTTTATACCTAGCTCAACTTACTTTCTATGGAGATAAATGGTATAAAATACCGACACGATGAAAAAAAAATGGACACAAATACAGTGTAATGCGAGCCTTTATTGAATATAATATATATATATATATATATATATATATTATATTAATTTATATATATATATATATATATATTATATATATATATTATAATATATATATATATATATATAATATATATATATATATATATAATATTATATATATATATATATATATATGTCGTGCCGAATATCTAAAACTGGTCAATTAGCAAGAACTCATTTAAAATTAAGTCCTTCCTAAAATTTTATCTTATACGTTTAAAGATATAGTTTTTTCATTAATTTTAATGTAAAAATTTTTAAATTTGCTCCAAAAGAATCTTAGAAAACTTACCTAACCTTATTATAACAAGAACAATTTATTTTAGCCTAACCCAACTAAATATATTTTAGATTTGCTTACAATAATTTAATACTAACCAAACACAGTGAAAAATAATTTTTTCGTTAGGTTCACAATGATTTTGGCGAAATTATTGCATACACAAATTTTCACTTGTTCTATATGGCAAGATGAGCGTTGCTATTTAAGCCAAGATAGCAAATTCTGCCTATTCGGCACGACATATATATATATATATATATATATTATATATATATATATATATATATATATATATATATATATATATATATATATATATATATATATATATATATATTATATATATATATATATATATATATATATTATATATATATATAATATAATATATATAATATATATATATATATATATATATATATATATATATATATATATATATATATATATATATATATATATATATGTCGTGCCGAATATGTAAAACTGGTCAATTAGCAAGAACTCATTTAAAATTAAGTCCTTTCTGAAATTTTCTCTTATACGATTAAAGATATATTTTTTTCATTAATGTTAATGTACAAATTTTTAATTTTGCACCAAAAGAATCTTAGAAAACTTACCTAACCTTATTATAACAAAAGCAATTTATTTTAGCCTAACCCAACTAAATATATTTTAAATATGTTTACAGTAATTTAGTACTAAACAAACACAATCAAATATATTTTTTTTTCGTTAGGTTCAGAATGATTTTGGCGAAATTATTGCATACACAAATTTTCACTTGTCCTATATGGCAAGATGAGCGTTGCTATTTAAGCCAAGATCGCAAGTTCTGCCTATTCGGCACGACATATATATATATATATATATATATATATATATATATATATATATATATATATATATATATATATATATATAATATATATTATATATATTATATATATATATATATATATATATATATAATATATATATATATATTTATATATATATATATTATATATATATATATATATATATATATATATATATATATATATATATATATATATATATATATATATATATATATATTTATATTAAATACTAGTATTATATATATATAATATCTAAAATATATATATATATAATAGTATATATTTATATTATAATATATATATATATATTTATTGATTTACTTCCAGACTAAAAATTGATTATTAACAGTAATTTTGTTTACGTCTCAACAACGTACTAATTAAATATCTATCAGTGTTGTTAGTTAAAATTGCCTATTTCCGAGGTTCGTTGGCATTTGACTAATTAGCTAAGAAAATACCTTTATATTTCATTATATAAGAAGAGTATAATCATGTTAAGGACCTAAATGATTATACTGTGTAGATGAATATGTAATCACCTGTACTCGACAGGTGTATTGATGACAAAAGCGAGAGAGACACATTACAGAATACTTATTGGGATAATTTTTTTCCTCTATTTAAAACATTATCATCATTTGGTAAATCTCCTGCATAAAGCGAAACATTGTCTTAATAAAAGTGTGTTTCTGTAATGTCTTCTCTGTAAAATCTCTTAACTGCACGGAGAATTCTGTCGCCTATTGGTCCAAACGTTCTGTAAATATCAATATGTTTTTTCCCCTTTCTTCCTTCGTCTTCTCCCCTGTGCTACTTACCATCTTCGTCGACCTCTGAGATGACCTCCTGAAGGTTCTTCTCTGAGATCTTGACGCCCATCATCCTCAGGATGGTGGAGACCGTGTCTGTGCTGATGGCTCCCTTCTTGTCCGTGTCGAAGGCGTCGAAAGCCTTGCGGAGACCTGCATCAGAATCATTTGGTGTTAAGAGCATAAATAACAAAGAACAGTTTACTTTAGGGAAACGTCATGACACTCCTGTGGCTATTGTTTTTTTTTCTGTGGCTGTTTATGATATGGTGTTTTGGGTCGCTCGATGTTGATTTGTGGTGTATTTTTTGTATTTTTTGTTAGGTCTTCTTCACCTCTCAGTTGATTTTGGTTACATTCTAGATCTCTGCAACCCTACCTCACTTGTTTGGTTCTCTTATATCTCACTGCGATGTTTAGTTCTATCCTACCTCACTGCGATGTTTAGTTCTATCCTACCTCACTGCGATGTTTGGTTCTGTCCTACCTCACTGCGATGTTTAGTTCTATCTTACCTCACTGCGATGTTTAGTTCTATCCTACCTCACTGCGATGTTTGGTTTTGTCCTACCTCACTGCAGAGCTTTTCTTCAACCCCTAGATTATTGCAAAGCTTAGCACTAATCCTCGCTCACTGCAGAGCTTAGCTTTAACCTTAGTTTACTGCAGAGCTTGACTTTCATCCTAGCTCACTGAAAAACATGGGCATCCATCATCTTTCAACGAATTACCTGACTCTCTTTCAGCTCATTGCCTCACCCTGGTTGCCCAGATTAATTCCGCTGCATCACCGCTATTGAGTCAGTGGGTACGGCACTGGCCAGGTGCCTGACTTCGTCCCCTGATAAGCATTACCACCGCTAACATACCTAAGAATGATGCAAGATTTTTGAAATACCTCCATGAGCCGTCCTTCCTGGCTAACTCTGTGAAAGTGTTAGTGTAGCGTAAACCTTGAAGTCTCATCGTTGTTAGAAGACAGTCGTATGTGTGATGGTCCACAAGGTTTCTGAAATGGCAGTCCACAATGTCATGAATATATTTTTTGGTGCGTAACGTGTACTTGGGGTTCGATCTGGTGGCTTTCTTGACACCAAGTAGCGTCGTTAAGTCGAGGCTACACTTGCGTCAGTTACGTCACCAGAGTGAATCTCGAGTGCTACTTTCAAGATACTCACACAAGAGCTACATTCATAGTGTAGCAGTGAAGGAATCTATGCTGAGTCGATAATGTCTTGTAGGTGTGCTCTTAAATCAATAAGATTATATATGAAGGGTCTGTAGGCCCTCTTAGGTATGTTTTGATGTAACTGAGATATATTCATCTTACTTACTTGTTATCGGTGGAGTCATAAAACTCGCTGAATGGTAGTCATAAGTTAATGTTAAGGATGTAGCTGTGTGAATCACGCCTCTGTACGTCTCGTCAAGGATCTCTTTGGTACAGCATTCATAAGTTGATGAATGTTTCTTTTGTTTTTATATAAAAACATGGGATTTATACTTGTTAATGTTTTATTCTGAGTGGGGGGCAGACCGATGCTGGTCTTTATAGTTATGTATGAGTCTACTTGGTTACCAAAAGCCCGACTGGTCCAGCAGTAGTTTGAAGAAGAACCGTCATTAAAAATATTTTTTTTGTTTTTTGAAAAAATGTTGAGGCTGTGTCCATCAGGTTCACCAGCGATGAAACTCTGGCTATGTTAAAGATTAAATTATTCACTGTTGTAATATTCCTGTGAATCCTGGGTAGTTACACACATGGAGGAGTTGATGTGCCATAGTTTTGAAAAGAGGGACATCACTTGTTAGACACAGGACATCACTTGTTAGACACGGGACATCACTTGTTAGACACGGGACATCACTTGTTAGACACAGGACATCATTGGTTAGACACAGGACATATCTTGTTAACAGCTGGCCATGAAGCACAGACATCACTTGAGAAGTATTGTGTTAGACAAGACAACAGCAGCAATGATTGTCAAACTTGCGAACACTAGAATATAAAAAAACAAATGCAAAGAACACAGAAATAAGCAAATGCAGAACAATAAAAATGATTATATGAAGCTTTTATCATTCCAGCGGACTATAATTCTTCTATTGTGTATCACGTGTCATAATTGTTATCTATCGTAAATACATTAGCAGAAAGATAATAGACATCCTAAGGTTACATTAAATGATGCGTAAAACATTAGGAAATATTTCTATAACGAAGATACTATTTCTTTTTTTGCAACAAAGTTATCGAGTCACTGAGGGATTCTAGTACAAATCTGTAACAAGGGAACTGGAGCTACACTCTCCCTTCTTCAAAACAAACCTGATTACTTCCACTCCCCAGGCGTTCTATGCCCCCCACGCGCTTATCCCGTCCCCAAGAATATAAAATATGACACGTGATAAAAGTCCACGGACAAGGGAGCTCTGGCTTGCATATATGAAGGCGCTAGACTGGCCTGGTGGAGGTGGTATGGCGATACCGACTAGTTGTTGGTACGAGACACGTGTGCAGTGATCAAGACATTTATTGAGATTTTTTTGGCCGCCAGTGGCTTTTCAGTTCTAATGCAAATAGGTAAACGTGTCTTTAACCCACAACGAAGACGGTGATTGTGAGTTGGTGATGGGAGGTAGGAAGCAGCAGGGAAAGGAGCTAGACACGGAGAGACGAGAGCAGAGAGTTGTAGACGAGAGGTTGTGGCATACCATCGACTTGAGCCTTGTCGAGCGAATCCTGTAACAGAAGAAGGAGGCTGAACACACTTGTAACAACGTCGACACAAGGAAGCCGACGTCTTAAAGAGGCATGCACTATCATGCGGATTTTTCTCCCATTACAGAAGAGAAATATCATTATTTACTCCCTCAAGACAACCCACACATTACACTGTGCCACATGAAGAAAAGAAAATAAGCTCGACATACTGAGGAGGAAAAAATCGTCAGCAACTGGATTGTGGCATTCAGATTTACTCCTGACCTTATAGCTCAGATTTAAATGTAAGTCAGATTAACTGACAAAAAAGGCACAATACCGTGACTGGAACGATGCACAAATAACCCGCACATAAAAGAGAGAAGCTTACGACGACGTTTCGGTCCGACTTGGACCATTGACAAAGTCACACTAACCAGAGGTGGAGCAGGACGGCTATATTATATACAACTCTTGTACTACTACTACTACTACTACCACCACCTCTTCCTGCCTATATATAGCCGTCCTGCTCCACCTCTGGTTAGTGTGACTTTGCCAATGGTCCAACTCGGACCGAAACGTCGTCGTAAGCTTCTCTCTTTTATGTGGGGGTTATTTGTGTAAGTCAGATTAGTTTATTATCAGCTTTATACGTCTCCAGTTACGCAATTATTGCGTCAAAGCGCAAGCGAAGTAGCAAGATTTAAAATTACAAACTAACTCACGATATGGAAAGGAAATTTTTTGACGATATTTCGATCCTTCCTGATCCATTATCAAGTCACGATGATGGTCCAGAGTAAACTAAAACATCGTCTGAAATACCCTGACCAAACACCGTGGTTAATTAAGTAACCAATTGTTCCACCAGTGACTTCAATTCCCCATTCAAAATCCTTCCCATAAAATAACCTTTCACTGTCCAACCCATCAGAAATGCCCATCAGGGTAACAGTCATAAAGAATTTTAAACCGAGTAACAGCATTACCAGTGAATAAAAATTGTCTCAAAAGTCAGGATCTGTCAGCACCAACGCTCCAGTTGCTGATCTTATCTTCCAACATCAAGAAAGCACGTTAGGTAGTAAAACAAATGTGTATGGAGCAGCACACAGCACTTTCTGTGTACCGTCTCCCTCGACCCTTACCGTTGATCTGTTCTTTGTCCAGTGAGTCCTGTAAGGGTATAAGTTTGTACGTTAAAATCAGGGTTTTCGTGAGTTGGTATTGGATTGTAGTAGTTACTAGATATCAAAGGCACCTGTCGATAGACACGGCCTGTTTTGTGTGTGTGGGTGGGTGTGTGTGTGTGGGTGTGTGTGTGTGCGTGTGTGTGTGTGTGTGTGTGTGTGCGTGTGTGTTTACTCACCAATTTGTGGTTGCAGGAAGTTGAGTCTCGGCTCCTGGCCCCGCCTCTCAGCTGGCTGCTACTGGGTTCATTCTCTTCTGGCTTCGCGAAGAGTGTGTGTGCGTGCGTGTGTGTGTGTGTGTGTGTGTGTGTGTGTGTGTGGTTGTGTGTGTGTGTGTGTGTGTGTGTGTGTGTGTGTGTGTGTGTGTGTGTTGTGTGTGGTGTGTGTGTGTGTGTGTGTGTGTGTACTCACTAATTGTGGTTGCAGGGGTCGAGACTCAGCTCCTGGCCCGCCTATGTGTGTGTGTGAGTGTGTGTGTGTGTGTTGTGTGTGTGTGTGTGGTGTGTATGTGTGTGTGTGCGTGTGCGTGTGCGTGTGTGTGTGTGTGTGTGTGGTGTGTGTGTGTGTGTGTGTGTGTATGTGTGTGTGTGCGTGTGTGCGTGTGCGTACTCACCTATTTGTACTCACCTATTTGTGGTTGCAGGGGTCGAGTCCTAGCTCCTGGCCCCGCCTCTTCACCGGTTGCTACTAGGCCCTCTCTCTCCCCGCTCATGAGCTTTATCAAACCTCGCTCTTAAAACGTGTATGGTTCCTGCCACTCACTACGTCATTTTCTAGGCTATTCCACTGCCTTACAACTCTATGACTGAAGAAATACTTCCTACTATCTCTCTGACTCATTTGTGTCTTCAACTTCCAATTGTGGCCCTCTTGTTTCTGTGTCCCCCCCCTGGAACATCCTGTCCTTGTCCACCTTGTCTATTCCACGCAGTATTTTATATGTCGTTATCATGTCTCCCCGGGACCCTCCTGTCCTCCAGTGTCGTCAGGCCGATTTCCCTTAATCTTTCTTCATAGGACATTCCCTTAGCTCTGGAACTAACCTTGTGTGCAAACCTTTGTACTTTCTCTAGTTTCTTGACGTGCTTTATCAAGTGCGGGTTCCAAACAGGTGCTGCATACTCCAGTATGGGCCTGACATACACGGTGTACAGTGTCTTGAACGATTCCTTACTAAGGTTCGGAATGCTGTTCTCAGGGTTGCCAGGCGCCCATATGCTGCAGCAGTTATCTGATTGATGTGTGCTTCCGGAGACATGCTCGGTGTTTTAACTCACCCCAAGATCTTTCTCCTTGAGTGAGGTTTGCAGTCTTTGGCCACCTAGCCTATACTCTGTCTGTGGTCTTCTGTGCCCTTCCCCTATCTTCATGACTTTGCATTTGGCAGGATTTAAATTCGAGAAGCCATTTGCTGGACCAGGTGTCCAGTCTGTCCAGGTCTCTTTGAAGTCCTGCCTGGTCCTCATCTGATTTAATTCTCCTCATTAACTTCACATCAATCTGCAAACAGGGACACTTCTGAGTCTAACCCTTCCGTCATGTCGTTCACATATACCAAAAATAGCACTGGTCCTAGGACCGACCCCTGTGGGACCCCGCTCGTCACAGGTGCCCACTGTGATACATCATTACGTACCATGACTCGTTGTTGCCTCCCTGTCAGGTATTCTCTGATCCATTGCAGTGCCCTTCCTGTTATATGCGCCTGATGCTCTAGCTTCTGCACTAATCTCTTGTGAGGAACTGTGTGTGTGTGTGTATGTGTGTGTGCGTGTGCGTGTGTGTGTGTGTGTGTGTGTGTGTGTGTGTGTGTGTGTGTGTGTGTGTGTGTGTGTGTGTGTGTGTGTGTGTGTGTGTGTGTGTGTGTGTGACACCAAAATTTCTACAAGTTCTGCCGTGTTGCAGAAACCTTCAACAAATGCTACAACTCATCTTTTTCCATTTTTTTCGCATAAAAGTTCACTATTAAGTAGAAGATTATAATTAAAGTTAATTACCTGAAAATTGTTATAGATGAGTTGTATTTATTCAGTGTCGAATACAGATAAATGTTGATTATAAGTATCATTTATATAACACTTATAACTAATCATTAAATGTTTTGATTTAACAATATATATATATATATATATATTATATATATATATATATATATATATATTTTATATATATAATATATAATATATATATATATATATACTATATATATATATATATATATATTATAATGAAGAAGGTCTCTGACTGGGACCAAAACATGTATATCTCTTTTCGTTTCAGTTTTCTGTAAGAATGATTTCTCACTTTTCCAAGAACTGACCATTTAAATTTAATCACATGGTCTAAAAGCAATAGCAATCTAACTTCAAACACGGCTCCATTTTCCTGCTGAACAAATGAATTGACACGATGGTATTTTCTCTGATAATACAGACGACGCAGCGACTGTCAAACAATAAGAATGTTCAATTAAAAGGATGATGACATGCTTGGATTACCTTTCCCCATTATGGTCTCCAGCTACGTGGTTAGTGGCAACAGGTGATGCAAATGAAGGTGATAATGGACTCTTTTAGATGAGACTGTATCGTGAGTCTCCAGCCAGTCAACTGGACAGTCAGTTGGCTCCCCTAGATGGTCAACTTCCTCATCCGGGCAGCAAACTCCCTTCCCTGGCCAGAAAACTCCCTTCCTTGAGCAACCAACTTCACTTTTGGTCAAGCAACTCCTCCTCCACTGAGCATCCATCTTCCTTCCCTCGTCAAGCAACTCCTTCCCTGGGTGACCCACGCTTTCCCTGGGTAGCCAAATATGCTACCCATCGCTGGATCCATATTCATCTTGATAAAACTCTACACTGAGCGAAACCTAGTTCCAATAAAAGCCTGATCTACATATTGTTTTTATACCTGCGTCTTTCGGCTTTGCTTCTGTACATCCAAACAAGCTTATACCGAGGAAGTAACAAAGTGCTCCTTACGGGAGGTTCGTCCTCACAAGCACTTGAGTGTCAGCTCGAGACAACCTCTTAACCGTACCGAGGTATAACACACATTATTTACGTATTTGTTTCCAATCTCTTTAATAAATGCGCATCAGAGGCAAGCAGTCTTGATGTAAAAGCATCGTTTAAACCTTGTTACTTCCAACATCTTATTCTTCCTCTCCTTATATTCTTTCCTTCTAATCCTTTCATTCCACCCCCATTCCATTCCACAGCCCTTTTCTCTCACTTCTCATCTTTTCCTCGGAGTGAGAAAAATATAATATAGAAACATGGGAAGTGGGTGGGCTGCCTTCAGCTTACCCTTCTCCGAAACAGCTCTCCACCCCACCCCCATTCCTTTTCCACCCATCTCCTTTTACCGCCTCGTGCAGGTGCACGCCCGCCCACGCTTCCGTGTTCTATGTAAATGGAAAAAAAAAGTGTTGAATTGGAGCCGAATTTTCCGTGATGGCTGGCAGGGCTGTGGTGCCCTCAGCTTGATGCTCTGCCAACTAAAACACAGTGATGGCCGACGCAGGTGGCTCTGTTTACTAGAGGGGGCTCTTGCCCCAGCAAACACGAAGTGCTTGATACCACCTGTTGCCCTGAGACTAGCCGTGGACAGGGTAAGAAGAGAGAGAGAAAAGGGAGATGGAATGACAGGGGGTAGGGGGTGAGAGGGAGAGGGGAGGAAGATGAGCAGCATAAGAGAAGAGTGGACAAGTTATGGTGGCAGTCAAGATGTAGAGAACACGAACAATACAGTTATGATATTTTTGACACGTAGAAGAAACACACATTTTGACGTTTATTATAACAGAGTGAACGAGAAAGAAGGAAAGAAAAGACAGGGTGGAAGA